TTTCTTTTCTTTTCTTTTCTTTTCTTTTCTTTTCTTTTCTTTTCTTTCTTTTCTTTTTCTCACCGCAGGATTTACTGACAGTGCAGAAATCAGAAGGCTTTCATTTTGCTCAGCAGATTAACCACAATTAGACCCAGCCGGACGAAAATATTCCTCTTTTCCTTACTCTTCGCCCTCCTCGGGGCCTGGACATTATGGAGGAGCGACGTGCTGCCAAGGAGATTTCTGCTGGGCCCTAAACGCCTTTTGGAAGGTGAACACTCGGCCCGTCGGTTTCACACGAGGGAGGGGGGCACCAGGGCCGGCTCTGGGAGTTTTAGAGCCCGTCCGACGCCGGTGCCTCAGGCCCTGTCCTGGCTGGTAGCCCCACACTCATCGCGTACGCACCACTGGGGGCTGGGAAGATCCAGTGGAGGACCACATGCCCTTCCCCGGACAAGCAGGCTACTACCGCCGCCGTCGCCGCGGGGGGATTCTCACCTCCCCAGACCGGCAGACCCCACAGGCGGTCAGGCCGGCTCAGTCCGCACCCGAAGCAGAGGCACAGAAGTAGCTCAGCCGAGAGCTGGGGAGGCGACACCCGCCCCAGGGGCCCCGCCCGCCCTGCCCGGCGGAGCTACCACCAGCCCAGCCCCACGCACACCCTCCCTTCCCCGCGCCACCGCTGGCTGCGCCCGGTGCCGGGCACCTTCTACTTACTGGCGCTAAAGCCTGGGTATATTTGCAGCGCTGCCCCCTGAGCTGGCTCCCTTCCCGCCTGCGTCCGGCCTGGCCCGGTTCCGTCGGTCCCGCCGACGGCCGCTCCGGCCGCGCCGCCGCACCGCCCTCCCGACGGAGCCCGGGGCCGCGGAGCCCTGGGGGCTGCCAGTCGCCCCTCCCGCCGCCAAGCACATCAGTTTTCCTCCGCACCCTGGCTTTCCCCGTTTATTTAAAGGGAGTCACTGGCCCGGGGGGAGGCGGGTTTCCCAGCCAGCGTCTCCCCGCGGCGGCTGCCTGAGTCATCATCGCTCATTTAAACAAAGCAGCGACCCAGGTACGAGGCAGTCGCGGCCAGCCCGCCAAGGCGAGGGGCAGCCGGTGCCGCACCACACACCCCGGCCGGGGAGGACCGGGGGAGGGGGAGGAAAAGGCAAACAAAGCGGGGAGCCCCGGCTGGAGCCGGTCATGTTGCAGGACGAGGGCGACCAATGTCCCCGTCCTCCTGCCGTGGCAGGGGTACTTCCTCGGGCTTCTGCCCGCTGCCCCCCGCCACTGGGGTTTCCTGGACGGCACCAAGCAGGCGCACAGCCCTTCGCAGCCCCCTGCCTTCCTACTGTAGACGGGATGAGGTTTTATATTGGAAATGAGGGGGGGGAGGAGAAGGAGCGCACACGGAGCGATGAGTGTGCGGTGTCAATCAGAGGGGTTTTGTGTCTCCTTGACTCCTGATGGTCCGTGGCTGAGGTGTCCCGGGTGGCACCACAATGAATATGAATAGGGGTCCTTGCTAAATGGGACAGTCAAAGCGCACCGCCCTGAATAATGGCACGTCATCCTAACTAGAGCATTATACATAGGAGGGCTCCTTTTGTCTCTGCTCTCTGCTGCAGCTCTATAAAAGCCCCTCTTTTTCAGGCTGAGGTTAGTCCAAGCATACACTAACTAGCCATCCTGTAAACAGACTGAGTAACCGGGGGGGAGAGATTGAAGAGAGAGGGGGCTGAGGGGCTTTTTTCTTCTTCCTCCGTTCCCAGCCCTTTGCTGGCAGATCCTGCCGTCCGTTTATTTCTTTTTTGCTTCATTTTTGTTTCTTTTTGAAGGAGAGTGGTCTTGTTTCACCACCTCCAGAGCAGGGAAGAGTTTCTTGCTAAGAAGCCTGAATACAATGAATTCTGACTCCAGCTCTGTCTCCAGCAGAGCGTCCTCGCCAGACATGGATGAGATGTACCTGAGAGACCACCACCACCACCACCACCACCATCACCACCACCAAGACAGCCGGCTCAACTCTGTCTCCTCCACCCAGAACGACCTGGTGCAGAAGATGTCCGGAGAAGGCCTCACCAGGAACGGCTCCAAGACCGGAGGGGAAGGCAGCAAGTACAAAATCAAGAAGCAGCTTTCGGAGCAGGACCTGCAGCAGCTGCGGCTGAAGATCAACGGCCGGGAGCGTAAGAGGATGCACGACCTCAACCTCGCCATGGACGGACTGCGGGAGGTGATGCCCTACGCCCACGGACCTTCCGTGAGAAAACTCTCCAAAATCGCCACCCTACTGTTAGCCAGAAACTATATCCTGATGCTCACCAGCTCCCTGGAGGAGATGAAGAGGCTGGTCGGGGAAATCTACGGGGGGCACCACTCGGCCTTTCACTGCGGCACGATGGGACACTCCACCGGGCACCCTCCCCACGCCGCCGGCACTGTGCACCAGGTGCACCCCATCCTCGGCAGCGCCTTGTCCTCCGCCAACACCTCCTCCTCCCTCTCCGCCTCCCTGCCGGCCATCGGCACCATCCGGCCCCCACACTCTCTGCTCAAGACCCCCTCGACACCCCCCGCCCTGCAGCTCGGCAGCGGCTTCCAGCACTGGGCGGGCTTGCCGTGCCCCTGCACCATCTGCCAGATGCCTCCCCCGCCCCACCTCTCGGCCCTCACCGCGTCCAACATGGCCAGGATCTCGGGGGAGACCAAGGACCTCCTGAAGTGACTCGGCGGGGCTCCCCCGGCCGCTGGGGCTGCGCCGAGGCCAGCGCTCCCACGGACGGAGAGGGGGCTGCTGCCGGCCCTCCCCCGGGCCGCCGACGGACCTGCCCCCGCTGCCTCCCTCCCCGCTAACCCCCCTATAACACAGGATTAGTGTAGTAAGGACCTTACAAAGGTAATGTTATATCCAGCTCCTCGGTCGACGTTTTCTTATTATACTAATTGGAAAAAAAAAGTCCCTGTTGTAAAAAGAATGATAATGATGATAATAATAATATTAATGCCGCTGATGGTAATCAAATGTAAATGATTCCTTAAAATGTATGTAAAAGGAAAAAAAGAAAGACATGGTTGTCGTTGTAGTTTTCGCAACTACTAAGAGACGATGAGATCACTTTGGGGTTTTCCCCCCTTCTTTTTCCTGGCTTTTCCTTTCTTTCCTTTCGCACGGCGACACCTCCGAAATTTCCCGCTCCAAACCTGGCTGCGTCAGCGCAGCGGCGGCCCAAGGTAGCCCAGAGAGTGCATGCATGCTTCCCACCCCAGCTTGTCACCAGTGGGGACCGGCCATAGGCAGCTCCCCTGGTAACATGGACTTCCGACAGAATTCACTGAAGTTTTCGAGTGTGGTTTATAGTTTGGGGTTTTTGTGGTTGAGTGCTGTTTTGTTTGTTTCTTTCTTTGTTCCTCCAAATTTCGTTGTGATGCGGTTTTGTTTGCGGTACCTTTTCTTCTTCCCTCTGTGAAGGAAAAAAAAAGGAGGAAAATAGTGCAAAACACAACACAAACATCCTGCGGATCTGTTTTGCCAAATCTCCGATCTCCTGCTCTCGGTGAAGTGTGCTAGTTCAGCTGGCTGGGGTACTAATTTCTCATGCTGGCTTTGGTTTTTTTGTTTTGTTTTGTTTTGTTTTGTTGGGTTTTTTGTTGTTGTTGTTGTTTGTTTTGTTGTTGGTTTTGTTTTTGTTTTTTTTTTTTTTTTTTTTTTGCATTGCTATAGTTTGGGTTTGCATGCGGGGTCAGCTCTTGCGACATCAGTGACTTGTAGAACTAATTCGGAAGCTTTGTTGCTGTTTATTTCCTTTCCGGTACTTTTTCCTGGGATTTTGCTTGAAATAATGTTATTATTAATTTCGATTGTTGGTTTGTTTGTTTGTTTTCGATTGGGGCCTCAAAGACAACACCGTGTCTTTATTTTTTATATATTCTTGATAACTATCAATATATTTATTATTGACCAGTGTTTCTGGATGAGATTTCCAAATAAAATAAAAAATAAATTCCAAACTGACTGTTTCGCTTTTGTCCGGAACTGGACGCTCAGAAAAGAGTCGTATTTGATCGCTTTTTGTTTCGCCAGGACTTTCCCGGCCCAGACTAGGAGGAAGTCGGCACATCCCCGTGTGCGGCTCGGGAGCAGCCACGAGCCCGACGTGCTTCGCTGTGTGCGAGCTGCCGGGCAGTTTCCGGCAGTTTTCCACTGGGCTGAGAGCCACCAGGAATTCACCAACCGATGGCCGGTCCCACAGACAGCGCCAGGCGGCGGGAGGACGGGCCGCGAGCACCACTGGGAGGGGCGCTGGGGCGTTTATGGGCAATAACTTTTTTTTTTTTTTTTTTTTTTTTGAGATCCAGCTGTTGGCCCTTTTCCGAGAGGGAAATGGCAAGATGGACAAGGTTGGGATAGGCATCTCTGGCCCGCCAGGAGGCGGTGCTCCATGGGGAGCAGCGCGGTGGGGTGCGGCATCCTCGAGGGAGCGCGGCTGGCGACTGCCAGCGCCCTCTGGCTCCGCACACGGGAGCGGGTCCTGCACCCCCCACCCAGACCCCTACCCCCTGTTTTTCGCGAAAGGGGATGTCCAGGAAGGGCCTGAAGAAACACGGAGAAGATGACTCCCCCTGATTCACAAGGTGAGTAGTGAGAGAGGAAGGATGAGTGGAGCATTTAAACCGAAGTGCCAAACAATTTTTGAAGGCACTTGTGGGTGATCCGTGCTGGTGAACTGCAGCACCCAAATCAAGGTTAAGACATAAGCACCCAAACACAAAAATTTGAAAATGAAAAGAAGAAAAAGAAGAATGTATATTTGCCTCGAAAACATACTGAACTAACAAATCAGGTTGTGAGAAATCAGTCCTAGGCTGAAGTAAATCCTTACTGTAATTCAGCAAGATGATCAAGATATGCTGCAGTTTCCCTTTCTCCTTCCCTCCTTCCCTTCTTCCCTTCTTCCTTCCCTCCTTCCTTCCTTCCTTCCTTCCTTCCTTCCCTCGCTCTTTCAGCTGTTTTCAGTTTTTTCACCGCTGACCAAGTCACAGCAGTGCCCGGTCCCCGCCCGCCCCAGTCTCAGGGATTAGGGAGTCCTGCCGCCGGGGAGGGAGCACAAGACAGGGAGGTGGGCAATGAGACTGATGGGTGCAACCTGTGCTCCGTAAGGTGCTGTCCTTGAGGAGAGGGCCGGCGGGGTGACCCTCTGGGGCCGTCGGAGCTGTGCTCCGGGCTCTGTGCAGGACGCGGGCACCCGCCCCGCCGTCCCAGTGGGAAAGGCTGAGCTGGAGCCTCTGCCCGGCCTCGGCAGTCAGAGGCACTCTCACACACACTCCTCCCTTCTCCCTGGCGGCGCTGCCTGAGCAGAGGGCAAGCACAAGCCGGGGAAACCCGGCAGAGGAGCGGGGAGCCGCGGGGAGCGGCCTGCGGGATGCCAGTCCGGACTCGGGGCCGCCGGCTCCTCCTCAGCTGACCCGACGGTCCCCGACGTATCCCTCCATGAGGGGCTGACACAGTTGGGGCACAAATCCACGATCCCCCCGTCCCCGCATCCTCCATCTTTCCGACCCCGGTTCCTCCTCGGCCCTGCATCCTTTCCCCCGGAGTGGGGCGAGCGGGGCAGCGTTGGAAGCGGCTTCTTCTGCTTCTGTCCCCTAGCTGCGTCTGCCGACAGTTTACCGAGCCTGCTACGGGACTGGGCTGCAAACGACACCTGAGAGGAGGGCGAAGTCACCCTCTCCGTCCAGGAGCCGGCAGTCAGGTACTCGGGACCCGCCGCTATCCCCGGCAGTGCTGCCTTGCCCTAAAGTATCTCTGCCGCTCGGCCCCTCGGTCCTGGGGACGGAGGGCGCCATGCCTCAACAAAAGGTCTCTTTGGAGACATTTGACTCCCGCTCAGCCACATAGAGCCGTCCCGGGCTCTGCCTCGCATTCCCTGGCAGCGCCGCGCTGTTTTCCAGCCGCGGAGTAAGGGTGGGTGAACGGGTGCACAGGCTGCTTCACGCTTTTCCGTAGCAAAAGGGACCAAGCAGCCACATGAGCCTGAGACAGGATTTTGAGTGGCCAGGAAAGGGGTGACAAATGTCCCGTCCCCCCGGCTCCTATGCGGCAGCGACGTACTCCAGGAGGTGCGAGTCAAACGCCAGAGACTCGCCTCCATGGTTTCACGTCCTGACCTGTGGAGAAGGGAAAATGGAAAGAGCATCTGAAGAGATGTGTTTTCCTTCTTTTCGATGGGTGGGGAAACGCTGAGCAACTTGGAGATACGATGCTGCAGGCGAGGAGGCACCTTTGGACCTTCCCTTCCCTTCCCCTGGAAAAAACCAACTAACTACAGAACAACTTCTGGAGAAACTGCCCATGGGGAGAGAAGGGGGAACAGTGGGGTTTTCTGTGGGAAGGTTTACCTCCACAAACATACTGGAGAAATAAATACAATAAAAATAAATAATAAAAAAAAAAAGGGGAGCTGAGCAATAGAAATAGGAAATCAGGAAAAGATCCGATGGTGGCAGAGACTGGCAGTGCCCATCCTGTGAGCTCATCGCTGCCTGACAGTGGGGCTGTAGGGTTGGGGCATGGTAGGGCAGGGTACCGCATGGCTCAGCATGGCAGGGGACAGCTTGACTAGGCATACTTCTCCTTGGATAAATGTGAGCTTGATTCTCTCAGGAAATTCCTTCCATTTTCACCACAAAAGTAATGTCTGTGTGCACGTATATATAATACATACATATGTACACATATAAATATAGATATAAATATAGATATAAATATAAATACATCAGAGGTGGATGGACACTATTTGTTTTCCTTTGTGCATGTCCTTGCTGTCCACTCGGTCCCGGCACAACCATGTCATGGAGAAGGCAGATGCTGCTGCTAGTCTTAGAGGGACACAGCTTTCCGTCCTTTCCCAGTGCTTCCTAGTTCCCATGGGGGAGGACCCTCTGCCCCCAGCTCCACAAATTTCACACCAGTCCCCTAGGCCTTGGGTGCTTGGTACGTTGTGTGGGGTTCCTTTTTTCCTCCACTCTCCCATCCCACCAGAAACCCCACCTGAAAACTCCAACACAGACCATGCCTTCACAGATGTCTCCTCTCCGTCTACATGGGGCCAGGAAGGAGGTGGGGGTGGGCTTGTGTTTTGATTAATATGGAAATAAAATGCAGAAATAGCAGCACTACTTAGCTTCATTGCTTCTGTTAAGAGATTTATTGATGGGGACATAAACACTAGGCTGGGGTCTTGTTCAGTAATTCACAGTCCCCATCAGTTATTACCAAATGAGCAAATTGTTCTTCTTAGAAGTCAGAGAGGGGAAAAAAAACATATGGGAAAAAAGTGATTTTTTAACAGGTTGCTACCCCCTGCCCCAGGTCCAGACCTCAGGCTGCCTGCCCAGCTGCCCTGGTTGGGGACCTACTCTCCAAGCAAAACTAATAAGAGGTTTATTATGGATTTGTGCCTCTTAAAATGCATGTGTCTTGCTCTACCTCCCTCTAACTTTCTTTTGTATTTTCCTACTTGCTCCTATCCAAAAATTTTTATTTTGCATTTTCTATTCTTTGCAGTCCTATTTTCCCTCCTTCAGAAGCAGGTAGGCATGGATTTAAGCTGGAAAGTGCTGCCACAAGATGACATTGTGCTGCTGTCAGGGAAAACAAAGGGGCAAGATTGAGAAGGGGAGTATAATCCTTTACTAGATGCAGTAATATTGTTGGGGAAAATGGGC